TTTTTTCTAGTCAACTGACAAAACATAACTTTTTATAACAAAATCTATAATTGCTAAAATAAAATAAAAGTTGTAAAAAATATAATAAAAATCAACCCAAATAGTTAAAAATAAACAAAACTATAAACTCTAAGTACAAAAGACTTCAGTTAAGTACAGAGACTTTGACTTTACTACATTCCAATTGTTATATTTTCATAATTTCGATCAAAAAACAAATTTTGTACATATAATTTTATTTAAGTTAGAGCATCCTGAACCAATAAGTATTAATCTCAGAATAAGTTTCTTGTATTTACCCGGAATTTACAAATAGATTTTCCGACATAAATCAAAGCAAAGTGTAACAGTTTGTTTTTTTTGTTTGTTTGTTTGTTTACATTTGACAAAATATATATAAATTACATATTTTTTCAAATACAAAAAAGGCCTCTAAAAGAAGATTACAATGATCTTATCGTCAGAAGCCTTTTACAAAAGAGAGCACGTAAAATATCATTAAAACGCCTTTTTACAATAAGAGTACGTAAAAAATCATATAAAAACAATAAATCGTACTTAGATAAATGAAAATAAGTTGTAAACAAGTATAAAACAAAACTTGAACATACATGACAATAAATTTTTTTTTTTTTTTTTTTAATCTCAAGTTAAAATAAAATTATTTAAAGATGTTTCCAATAGAAAGAACAAGGTCTTTTAATTAATTTTTAAAAACAGAATAAGTTAGGGTAAGTCGATGTTAGGCAAAATATATTATTCCTCAAGTTAAACTTGAAAAAAAATCCATTTTGTTTTGCTTATATTTAAGGTTATTTTGTTACTTTTAAACTATTTAGATATGTTTTTAAGTTCTTTGTTCATCATGGAGAAAAGTAGATAGATGTCACTGTTAGAGAGAAACAAGTTTGTGTTATCAGCAAACATAATACTTAGAAGATTTTATGCTTTATGCAAGTCGTTGATATATATTTGAAACAAAAAATGTCCTAATATGGAACCTTGCGGAACACCACAAGAAACATTTAAAAACTGTTTATGATTAAGTCCATTACAAGAAACAAATTGTTTTCTGTTCGATAACTTTAAAATTATTTAATTACTCTTTCATTTATTCCGTAAAAATTATGTTTATAAAACAAAATATCATGACTGACATTATCAAATGATTTTGAAAGATCCTAATGAACGCGGAATTTTTTCGTACCGAATGTTACAAAACATGTAAAATCGCTAATGTTCATTTCGCAAAAGCTACTTCCGAAATTTAGCATTTTGCAAGTTGACATACGAAACAAAACTATTTTGCAACATACGAAAGTAGCGGTTGCGGAAGTCGCACTTGCGAAACAAACATTTTCGCCCAACGACGTTTTGAAGTCTATAAAGAAAATTTGTTTGCCAGACTGATTTTAATTGTAAAAACTAACATCTTTAAATCCCAAAATGTTTATAATGAATTTTTATAACTCAGTATAATAACTATTAAATTTTTATGGTTTTATTTTTAGAAATATTAATAAAAAAAAAATTTCTTTCGAAACGAATGTTATTCGGATCACAACATACGAAAGAATTCTTAACGGAAACAAACTTACGAAACGTACCATAATAAATATATACAACGATGTTTTTTGAACTCATTACGTATATTAAAAATAAGAATGATGGGTAGGAATATACATGTTTTTTTTTTTAAAGCATATGAAATTTTTGAAACAGGTTCGAATATGCTTAAGCAAATAGTAAAAAGAGGCTCAAAAATATGCTTTAGCTTAAGCATATTTCTGATAAAATATACCTATTTCAATAATTTCTAAAAGTGTGCACGTTACTAAAGTTCTAGCAGATTTTAAAGGTATGTAGAGTCCTGTTTGAATACGCTTTTCGAAGTATAGATCTTAGAAAATATTGTTTTTTAATTTTAATAAGATTTAAATTTAAGTATAAGATTGTATAGTTCAATCAGTTAGATACGTGACAATTCGCCGCAGAGATCCGGGTTCGCATCCCGCAGCCATTGTAACTTTTGTTCATCAAACTCTTTTTACTTAAGATAGCATTTTTTGACCTCCATGTTCTATATTACAGATCTTTTGTCACCTTCACAATAATGACAACCTCTCTTCTGTTTGTTATTCTTTTAAGATTGAGTTCATTGTGCTTAATTCAACACGTTTCCCTTGGGCTTTACTAAGTTCTACTTAAATTATGATGAAATGTACGTAAAACAACTTTTTCAAATAATATAAATCATTTTGCTTTAAATCTTTTGCTTTTTGTACTAGACATCTGTCCTAAACAATTTGTAATAATTTCTAGCTAACTCTGAGTCTAAAATAGTCATTTCTGAATATAATTTCCCTGAGGCTCCGACAGCCTATTGTGTTCCATTAAAAGTAACTAGTTTTTGAGTCCAGATATTAATTATAAGCATCTAAAGGTTCACATTACTATTCATATTTCTGATATATAGAATCCTATTTGCATACGTATCTCTTTCTGTAAATTCTGTTTTATATAGTTTCTTAATTATATATTAAATAAATATTCCTATTCACTTAGTTGAATAAACGTATAGCTCAATCAGTTAAGAGGCCGTTAAAATCTAGCCGCGTAGACCCAGGTTCACATCCCGCTGTTTCATATATTTTTTTTTTTTTTTACGCTTTCTGGTATTATTTATCTTTAGAGAGATCTCTCGTTCTTTATAATAAAGTATTTAATTGTTTATCACACATCCTCTTTATACTTTTTAAAAAGAAAGGGATGCTGTTTATCTGTTCATTGAGAGTCCAACTTAACGGGATTTTACTGTGTATATATATATATATATATATATATATATATATATATATATATATATATATATATATATATATATATATATATATATATATATATATATATATATATATATATATATATATATATATATATATATATATATATATATATATATATATATATATATATATATATATATATATATGTATAAACATTTAAACTGTTAACAGTTAATATCTTAAATATATCGTAACATAAAATCTTTTGCGTCTTTTTCGTAACTGCACATTCCGGAATGTTTTTTCCGTAAGGAACTATTTCGTAAGTATTCTTAAGCCCGTTCTCCATTCCGCTTTGGAGAAGCGGAAAAGTTCTTTGAGCATGCGCAAACAGTTTTTTTAAACCCGTTCTCCAATCCGAATTTTTTGCGCATGCTCAAAGAACTCTTCCGTTCCTCCTAAGCGCAAATAGTTCTGAATGGAGAACAAGCTTTACGAAATGATTTGTTTCGCAAGTTTTCTTTCGCAATGCTTTATTACGGAACTTTATTTATTTATATTTTCGTCTAGCGCGTTACGAAATGTGCATTTTTGCATGTGCAACTTCCGCAATAACAATTCTATTACGGTAGATAAAGATGCAAAATTTTCGCAAGTTTTGTTTTTCGGCGAACAACCCTAGTTTAGGGCCGATTTCAACAAAAAATTTATTAAATTCGTGAGCTATTGTTTGATAATTATTTATATTATTATTATCCACTTTGATCATGTGTGGCAGGGAACCTGAGCATAATTTCGATTTACCGGTAATTTCATTTGTTATTTCCCAGGAGCGTTTGCAATTGTTTTTTGCTTTATTGAGAACTTTAGAATAGTAAAGTTTTTCGATTTTTTTCAAAAAGATTTTTGTAATCTTTGTATATTTTTTCATTGGCGAATAATTTGTTATTTAGATATTTTATGTATAATTTCTGCTTAACTTTTGATGATTTTTTTAAAACCTTTTGTAACCCAGAGAGAATTAATATTTTTTGTTTTTTCATATAAACTAAAATTAGCATTATAAAGAGAGTAAAATGTATTAAAGAAATTATCGTAAATGTCGTTTGCGTTATCACTAAAGTCGATGTTCTTCCAATGTAGCAATGATAACTGTGTTTTAAATTGCTCAACGTTTTTTTGGTTATAGTTACGTAATCTAATTTTTATGTTTGTTTTTATTTTAGAGTTAAAGTTAATAGTAAAAAATGATGGGGAAATGGTCAGATATGTCTGTTTTTAAAATACCTTTATTTAAGTCACCGTTTAAAATATCAGTTGTTAGAATGATACCGATTAGATAAGCTGATTTTGGAGTTACTCTGGTCGGGCGATTTATCAAAGGAATGGCTCCCATTTCAAAAATAGAATCATAAATATTTTTAAATTTAATGCCCGTAGAGTAGTGAAAACAATTCATTTTGGAATCCTCTACAAAAAAATCCTTTTTTTTTTTTCAAGGATGTCTTTTTTGAAAAGGTTTTCCTCAAAATACATGTTTATGTTCTCAGCCACACCGTTCGGAGGCCTATAGCAACAGCTCAATAAAATGTTTTTTGATTGATTGTTAGGAATTTCAATAGTTAAAATTTGTTTGTTGTCGTTAGAAACACTTAAATCATTCCTAACATAATGTGCAATACTTTTCTTTAAATAAATAAGAACTCCGCCACCGCGTTTATTGATCAGTCTCTATTGAGAAATTCTCTCAAAGTTAGATTAAAATAAGAAGAACACAAAGAAAGATTAAAAATTGAAGTAGTATTCTAATCTTTTTGTTTATCCAGCTTTCAGTTTAATAAATTATAATTAAAAAATTGTTGGTTTTTTGTAACAAATTGAGAAGAATTTTGAAATGCGGTTAAAGACTTTGATATTTATATGAAGACTTCTTAGTTGATCAATATTATTGTTTTTTGTATTTTTATAAGAAAATTCTTCTAACTTGTTAGGAATGTAATATGAACAATCCGTAATAATGTCATTGAAATAATTAATGTCTGGATCTAAGTTTTCATCATATGAGAAGTGTCTCATTTCTGAAAAATTAAAAGTAAACGATTTAAAGTCAATTTTTTCAGACATTTTGATTAAAATATAAATTAGAAGAAATTTCTTAACATTGTAAGTTAAAATATTATCTTTTATGATCTCTACAAAAAATAAAATCAAAATTGATAATAGCGTATTTACCTTCTTTTTTCAATTTAACCACTTCATCCGAGAGATTTTTGCGCTTTTCTATTATTTCCTTTGCAAAGTCTTTGTTTATGAACAAACCTGTTCCGCGTAGTTTTTTTTGAGCTTTGTAGAATAAACGTGAGAAGGAACATGAGAAGGCTCTCAATAAATTGATGTGTGGTATTGTTTTAAATTCCAATAATAATTGTGATTGTCTAATAGACCTCTCCTTAAAAATTTCATTATTTCACAAGTGTGCTTGCTTTTAATATTCAAACATTTTGAATTTTGGATAGTTGTAAGTTTTATATAAACAGTTTAAATATTTAAATTTATTTACTTGTTGATAATATTATGTAATAATAAAACATATCATTTTTATAACAGAAATTATTACTCTTTTTAATTTTATACCCTAAATAATATTGAAATATTATAAATAAACCTTAATATAAATATGCATAAGGTAAAAAAAGGCCACTTTTTCATTTACTTTCAGATTTTTCTATTGAAATAAATTAATATTCTGAAGTTTAAGATGGTTTTTTTGAGGCAATATATTATTGTACTAGGTTAAGCACTTTTTCCTTAAAAACAAAATTTCATTTTGTGTCAAGACTGCTATAAAGTTTGTAAAAATTATTAAAATAATCATGAAAAGAGGCAATTAGAACAAGTATATTAAAATAATTTTTTTTTGCAAGAGTTGCTTCAATTATCGAATTTTCGTTTGATAACTAGAATGTGGTTTGACAATTGATAGAATGTCAAATATAACATGACATCCACACTTTTATTTTTACTTTGTATATAAACTGTATACTTAAAAAAATATAGTTTCAATTATGAATTATAACTCACATAGAAATAATTTAGAGGTAAAAAATAAAAATAAATTTTTTTAAGATAAAATACAGTTTTTGAAAAGTTTAAATTGGTCTAATCTAGTTACTCTCTTTTACTTTATTTAGAAATAAGTTGATTAGAAATAAGTTGTGGTAAATTGATCAGATTTATTTGAGTGACACAATTCGAAAAAATTCTTTGTTGCTCCGCACAAACAAATAGATGCATTGTTAGGCTGGTGACACCAAAGTATGTAAATGAGTTTAAATCACCTTTTGCCAACTTTTTAATGGTTTGGATTTTATATACAAATTTGTAAAGTATACAGTTGCCATTAGTTAGCATGTTAAAAAAAGTTTAAAACTCATGCAAAAAGTTATTAAGTATGTGTATTCAATTAAATGCAGAAGTCATAGAAAGATACTGGAAATACTAAATGATATTGATTATCTAGTTAACATTGTCAGCAAAAACTGCAACTTCTTCAAAAGTTTAATCGATAAAGAACTTATTTAATGTTGTGTTTTTAGTTTGTTATAGTAACTATTGTTATTATCTGTTTATTAGTTATTATAGTAATTATTGTCAATAACTGGTGTAGTTATCTACGTACTGGTTTAGCAGGCTAGATCCAAGCTTCCTTCAACATTTATTAGATTATAAAGTATTGTTTTTTATTTTTTTTTTGATTTATTTCATTTTATTTCATATGATTTTTATTTGTCATTATTTAATCATCCTTTCTATAAAATTTTAAATCATTAGATTTAGCTAAAGAATTCAAATTATATAAACTTTCAAGATAAAATTTTGATTTAGAAATATGTGTTTGAGGCTTGTCAGGCCTTCTCAGGAAACGCGTGCGGTCGCATATATATTTTCTGACCACGCATATCTTTTTGTTGTTGATAACTTGGTCACGATTTTTTTGCATGTATTAAAAATGGCGCATTTTAAAAAACCCGCTGAAAAAACCAAACTAACTTGTCATATTAAATATAACTGATATTTTACCAAATGATTCGGTATAATGTCACTTATTGTACCCACAATAGCAACGTTGCCAGCATACACATCTATTGGAGATTTTGCTGGTACTTTACTGTTAAATTATGGTGGTTATATTTGGTAATAGCCACAAACCTATAAACTTGAATTAAAAAATGTATCAAAACCTGTATCAGAACTAAATTTATTTGTATAATTAGACTCCATTGATTGCACTTTCTTTTTTCTTTTTTCTTTTCTGTTACTCTCTGCTGCCAGCAACCAGAAAATTTTTAACTGAAATAATTTACAGTAAAAATATCTTCTAAGATTATTTTAGCATATTAATTTGTTTTTGTGGTTTTATGCATAGGCATAAACGTTCTATAAAATATAAACTTTATTGTTTGAAGTAAAATTATTTAAAATGAGGTTAAATGCAGCTGAAAAAGAATCTTTTCAAAAGCGAATCAAAATGTTTATTATAATTAAGGCTAATATAAAAGCTAATATGAAATTTAATTTTTTTTTTTAATTTTAAAAAGTTTTCAATTTTTTTAACAACGCCACTCAGCGACGCTGCAGAGCCGACAACACCGGGGTCCAGGTGGGCACGTGCCTCAAACTTCTACTTTTTTTGTAAAAGACCTTATTTGTTTTCTTTTTTTTTAAAAAAGTTTTTAAATATAGAGAACTTCTTTCCACTTTAAAACCCGTGTCGTCGGCTGAAATTTATTTATTACGCTGAAGTTAAATTGTAGCTGCTGAAATTTAGTTACTTAGCTGCAATAGCGTAATAACTAAATTTCTGTAGATTTAAAACGTTAGTAATACTATTTTTAAGAAAGAAAAAAAAACCGTACCTTTTCAATTATAAATTCAGATATTTATTTAAGTCCTTAAAAAAAAAATTTTTTTAATTTTTATGTTAGTTTTGGCCTTAAGACATGTAAAGGGTAATAATGCATTTAAATTCAATCAAGAGCATTCTGCAATTATGCTAAAAATTTTAAGATATCAAAATAATATAAAGTAAAGTACATATTCTTTTATACAAGTAGAGTCTTTAATACAAGTAGAGGGGAGGAGGGGTTGAGAATAAAAGGAGGGGGTTCGGAATTTTAATCCTGATCTAATAAACGGGGTTGTTTTAATTAAATGAGGGAGGGGAAAATATTTTGATGTTAGAATATAAGTATTTATTTATAAAATAAAACTTCAATTAATAAATCTAAGCTAATATTTTTTCAAAACACGTATATAACTATTTAATTCTAGCATGCTAGAAAATACACAAAACAGCTGCTAGAAAATACACATTTTGCTTTTAGCAAAATGTGTATTTTCTAGCAGTTGTTTCATCATACTTTCAATAGGATTTATTAAGTTGATATAATTTTTGTATTTTGGTAAGTAATAAACCAAAAGCTCATTTTTGACTACGAGGTGGACTTTATTGATAAATTATTTAAATTAAATCCCTTAGTTACCAGGACTCTGAGCATTTGAATATTGAAATTAAAAAAAAAAAATATATAATAAGTAATTTTGGTGACACTAACGCTGTGTGATATTTCAATTACATCTTATCAAGACTATTCATATTTTTGGAGTGACGCAACACACTGAACAGCATAGGTATGAGTTAGTTTTTCCAGATAGTATGTCTGAACCTTCTCATCAATCATTGTAAGTTCAATAATACAATTCGCTTCAATAGAAGATCCGCAAACCTCTAATAAAATCATACCCAAGCTTTCTATCATACTTTTAATGTACTGATCTTCTTCAATCACAGATTCCTTGGATTCCGTTTTGTATGTGAATCTCATAGGTCTACAATACTCTGTAAATAACGACTTTTAATTTCTCGAAATAGGCACCTTTTCGTTGGGTGAAGCTGAATAGTCCTCCACTGTTATATTTGTAGCATAACATTTCATTTTTGCATTCCTGACGTCATTATAAATGGGGTAGATGTTAAATTCTTTCTCCAAGGTTCCACTTCTAATCAATTGATCAAAAGGTTTTATCAGACTGGCGTCATTCATTAAAAAACCAGAGCTCCGTCTGCTGAATGTTTACTTGCTTTATTTGTATTTGAAATATTTAAAACGTTCTTGGCAGCAAAACAAAAGATTCATCTTTTATTATTTAAATTTAATTCATTGAATGAATGAGATTCAAGTAAGTCATATACACGTCGTATTTTAGTTTTATTAGAACTATCATCAAATGTAACTTGTTTTCGACCACGTCTTATTTCAGTTGGTTCATTGTCATATTTTCTGACAATTAATAATTCATTAAGCCGATTCACAAATTTCTTTTCAAAGTTTTGACATTATAGTTTAGAGTAAGGCTGTGGAGCCGAAGTCGGAGTTGTGCAGTTGTGATATTTTTAGTGGAGTTGGAGTCGCTAAACAAAATTGCGACTCCGATTCCAATAGTAAAACTTCTCGGTATTGCAGGTGCATGTACAAAACATTCAATTAATCTTATGTTCATACTAAACCTCAAGCGTTTCATAAATTTGTCAAAAAAAAAATATTTTTAACTTATTCCATAATATTTTTTAAAGTTTTCAAAGAATTTTTTATAACTATTGCTTTGGAGTTGGAGTTGGAGTTGGAGTCGGAGTCGGAGTCGGAGTCGGAGTCGGAGTTGCACTCAAAAAATTTCAACAACTGGATTTAGAGTCGAAGTCGTTTTTTTTAAGACTCCACACCCCTGGTTTACAGATTTCCTATTTTTTAATATAAGTAAACAAATCAATAAACAGCATGCCTAAAATCAACGTCTTTAAATTCAACAATTTTTGGCAAAATAAATTTTAATGTAGAAAATTATGAATGTTTAAGTTTAATAAAATCATATCTAAATAATTTTAATAAAAAATACTTTGGATTTAAAAGTTTAATATATATACTAATCCTTGTAAGAAATTAAGTTACTACAAGTATTAGTAATTAAAATAAAAAGTAACAAAATTACTGTTAGTGCTAGTAATTAAATTACATAAGTAAGGTATTCATAGCAACCAGAAAAAATTAACCTCATAGAGTTATGAATCTCATTATAATATATACTCCCAATATTATGGGCGTATATATTATAATGAGATTAACAACAAAATGACAATAGCAACCAAGTTAAAACTGTCAGGGTTAGAGTTTATTTAAGGGGACGAGCAATCGATGGAACTCAATTGAAGCATCATATAGCTCAAATAAATATAAGACAGGACATGGCAAGTTGTGTCAATTATTATTTATGGTGCTGCAAAAATAAATTTGTTTAATATTTTTTTTTTAATCTGTGATTTTCAAAGTATAATTGGGATAAAATGCTATGAATAATTTATTTCACACAATGGTTTTTGTCTCTAATACTCAAAAATATAATGTACTAATTTTTTGTTTTAAAAACGTTCCCTAATATAGACTATACTAACAAAGACTTTAAATGTTCTTTCCAGTCTCTATGCATAGGTTAGATTTTTTGAGATGATTTTGCAAATTACATATAAAAAGAAACAAGAAAGTGGCGGGCAAGATCTAAAGGACACAAAGAAAAGGCATCTGTAGCTCAACAAAAGATTCAGACTGATTTTATGAACAAAATGGGACTTGTTGTTGATTTTCCTAAAAGTTGTGGTTCTGGATCAAACCACAATGGCAATACTTCAATGGAAATACTTCAATTTTGAAGCACATGAATGAAAAGCTGAAATTCTGTGTTTTGATCAAAACCTTATATTCAGATTTTCCATTATCTTGGTAACACTCTCTTTTGAATATGAAATAGAATGCTTAAAATTCAAGGATGATTGTTTCCTGTGCATAAAGTATTGATGCATTGACATGACATAATTAGACGCCTTATATATTACACATCGGACATCGATCAGAGAAAGCTCAAAAGGCTAGAAATCAAGACTTCAATCTTATTGCAAAGATTTCATTCAAAAAACATCCAAAAGAGCAACAAATACTGATCTGATCAATAGACTCCTAGATTCCAGTGATCCTGTTATTTCATATCTGCGTAAATCAACATCACACCAAACAAATTATAAAACATTTCCTTCAAATATTTTACAATTACTTAAACAAACTTAAAACGATATTATCGTTTTATAAATTTTTGTTGTAATTTAAAAATCTTATGTATATAATCAGTTTTGTAACAAAATCGAAATTAAAATATTTGGTTATATAAAATGACAGCCAATTTGAATATACCTGCTTCATTAAAGGAAACAAGAAATCTTAATTCTACCCATTAATAATAACTGCAATACAACAAACATCATATTCCAATCTAAAAATTTTTTAATTGTAAATAAGTCATAAAAGTTTAACTATTAAAATAGCAGTATTTAGTTTCTCATTAAAAAGTTCATTCAGTAGATGGGATGGTGATGAACACATAATATTTACATCAAAAATGGTTAATTTTTATAAATATTTTTATCTAAAATATTAAAAAAATAAATCATAATAAAATAAGTAAATCTAGTATAAAAAATAGATCATTCACAAGTATTTACATGTGAAGAAACTTCACAATATAAATTAGTGGTGTATAAATTGTTTAAGGAGAGTGGTGTATGAACTCCCTGCTCCAACTGATCCCAGTCAACCATTCCAACTGGGTCCCAGCTGGGATCAAATATGGGAAAATGCTGGGACACATCTGGGTATCCCACATGGGTCCGATTATGATTCTGTCAGTGGGATCCAACTGGATCACATCTGAGATTAGTCTGGGTTTTTGACGGGAAATCCCATATTGAACCAAGTTATTATTTTCATTTACCGCGGGTTTTCTAAATTTCTTATAGTTTGTTTTTCGCAAATTTTTTTGTATATCGAACCTGCGAAATAATGTAATAATTTTTTGATTAAAAAGTTAATTTTTACGAATCAATTAAAAAAACAGATTTGAATTTCATAATATTTTTAGGCAACAAAAAACTATCATTATACAATGGTTTGATGCAAAATTGTTCTACGATAGTAATATTCTGCCACAGTAATTCTCTCGTAATCACCACCATAATCGTGTGACAAAATTCTGCTTTAAAGTTTATCGTTTCGCTTCTTTGATGCTTTCATCTACTTTTATACAAATTTTATAAATTGAACAAAACCACTCGAATAATATAATAATTGATAGCATATATATTTACAAAGTATAGATAAAAATATTTATTGATAGTATTATTTAGGGCATACCATGCAGTGTGCCATACCATGCGACATCTTGCATTTAACTAACAAACGCTAGAAAACAAAAACACATGTACAATTTACAAGCTAACTCAATACAATATATAAATAGTTATAAGTGTTATAACTAAGATAACCATAGCCAGATTAAAGTAGAGGCCCAGGGCAGGACAATTAATTACTTTCATAGTTTGCTGTTACAAAAATAACATAAAAAAAAATAAAATAAACATAACATAAATAGTAAAATACAAAAATAAATACGGGGGAGCTAAAGTCTCGAAATGACACTATGACCAACGGTGTATCATTTTCTTCAGTTGCCGTCATCTAAAGTTTCAATACATTTTAAAGTTTCTTCAGTTTTTTTTTTTTAACAGGGATCCTGCAGGAAATCTAAAACAATGTTATTTTACAGTATGTTTGATATTATTAAATAAGCATGACATAAATAGACTTGTAAACAACAATAACATAACAATACTACTATGTTACCATTTAAAATTTAAAGTCTTGACTCAAGTTAACATGACATCATACCCTTAAATCAGTTTGTTTAATATCTTTAATATAATTTAATTAATGCAAAATAATCAATATTAAAAACATTTTGATTATATTTAACTAAACAATAATCATTTTAGGTTACGTTATTACTTGAAATTAACTATTTGTTACAATATAAACATATTGAAAAAAATTAAAAACAATTGTAGTTTTGACCAAAATAAATTTTATATTAAAATTTTAAACAAGTCTAGAGTACTTATATTAATATATATATATATATATATATATATATATATATATATATATATATATATATATATATATATATATATATATATATATATATATATATATATATATATATATATATATATACATATATATATATATTTATATATATATATATATATATATATATATATATATATATATATATATATATATATATATATATATATATATATATATATATATATATATATATATAATAATTATATTCACGATTATTCATATAACGTATTTCAATTATCGAGGACCAAAATTTATTGTTTAATTTCATGGTGTCTTTGAGCTACATTTTGTGATTATATATTAAAGTTATTTCGCAGATTCTAAAATGTATTTAACACCGCAATAAATTAATTTAAAAAATCATTATACATAGATAAATTTTTAACTTTACTACATTGTGACAATGCAGTAAGGTAAAATGCAATACACTATCGACCAGTATTATTGACAATGATTTTGTACTGCACTGTTGTAAGACCTATTTTTGAATATGTATCACCAATATGGAACCCATATAAAAAAAAAATGGTATATATAAAATAGAAAGTGTTTAACAATGAGCAACTAAATTAATTCCGGAATTAAGGCATCTACCATACGAAGAAAGATAAAAAAACTTCAACTGACTTCCTTAAAAACCAGGAGAATAGGATATGATTTAATTCAATATTATGAGATTTTTCATAATTTGGACAAAGTGTTTTGGTATCAACAACCAAAAACAGCAATTTCTATTTCAGCAAATGGTACAGCTGCAAACATTAGAGGACATAAAGCATACATAAATATTGAGCTAATAAAAATAAACAGATCAAGGAAAAATTTCCTGACAAACAGAGTTGCAAAATAGTGGAATAAACTACCAGAAAAAGTTGTTTCCACCAATAGTGTAAAAATCTTCAAATACAAGCTTGATAAACATATAAATGTTATGAAATTCTGATCTCTATGAATATTTTTAAACTGTAATTAGAATGGGCTCATATTAGATTCAACATGGCGTTAAATAAATATTATTTAACTAATCAACAAATAAATGAAAATAAATATAAAAACAAACTACCAATAAGGTACCAAATGAAGTTTATGTAAAAAATCCTTCAAATGTATATTTATTACAAACCATGTCACACTACTGTATATGTAGTTTTTTTAAAAAAATTTTATCATTAACTTTTAAGAAAAATAATGCAAAACAAACTATTCTTGATTTAAAAATATGATCTATCATAATACTATTCACATTTCCTAGCAATTCACGGAATTTATCCATTCTTCAAAACCAAGGTTAATAATAGGAAAAACCGGTATATTTTACGAATTCTATATATTTTTAATGTACAGAAATTATTTTATTTATTTTGTCTAACTCTGTAAACTAATAGTTTGAGATATTGAAGGGGGAAAGTAAAAGTTCTTGAACTTTCTAAAACAAAAATATTCTAAATAATGTGGTCAGATTAAGTGTAAACTTACTAGATTTAGATGAATCATTTCATGGTAGATTTTACATAACTTTTATTTGTAAAAATCTAACATTTGTTGAAGTAATGTAATATCTGTTGTTAATCATAAATCAACACAACCAACTTTAAAAGCAAAGCATAGATAATATTGAACCTTTTAAATAAATTTAATAAAGTTTTATTAAAATTTAAAATTTTATTTTAAATTTTATACAAAAATAACATAAATAAAAAATGTATTACCAAAAAAATTTGATATCTTTTTTATAACTTTGCAAATAAACACATTATATATGAATATTTGATATCATATAATAACACAATGAAAATTGACTTACTATAGCAAGTAAAAAAAACAAAAAACATTCATGATTATTCAAACATTCAGTTTTTGCAATAATTAGTATCAAAACTACATTTTCAATTTTATATTGCACTTGAGTAGCATTTTATGATTGTATATTTAATTCATTTCCTAACATATTTTTAAAAAATTATAGAAGATCCTGTGAAAACTTGTTAAAAAACATTTAAAAACCTTAAAACTCAACATTTCCCTCTTTTAGACAGCCAAATTGATTCTTAAACAAATGTCTGAATATTGCTATTAAAATATATATAATTTTATATTTTAAAGAACTTAAAAAATGCATTTATTATATAAATATTTTCAAACAAAATGTGATGATTTTGTTATTATTACAGACAAATAAAGTTAAAAGTTAAAATACTTAATAATTTTTGTTATTAATTACTACTATTTACAAATAATTCACAATATAAATAATTTAAACACTTTTTTATATAAAACCTTATATTATAACTTATAATATCACTTACAGTATTTATAATATGAGTAATATAAATAAATTGTTAACTATATAGCTTATAGAAATGATAAAACATTAGATACAGCAGTGTTACTTAGTAAAACCTTACTATATTTTGTAGAGTGACATTGAGATTTGCTTGAAAAAGATAATTTAAAACAAAACACACTAACTTAGTCTAATTCGTTTTTGTAACTTAGTGACTAAGCCATAACTGTAAGCACACTAAACCATATAGACTAATTTGAAAAAGTTTCAACATATGTCTAAAAAACTGTTTTTTAAATGAATGTTTAAATATGACACCCAGTTGCGTGGTTAACTGGGCAGTTAATCATTTTTATTATTAATTAATATTATATGCAAATAATTTGCAATATAAATTATTTAAACATTTTTTCATATAAAACTTTAAACTGCAAATTAAAATTTATGTTTTAATATATATAACATAACTCAAATTCTAAATATTATCACTTTTTAAAACATAGTCAACATATCAGACATATCTAAAGTTTATATATAGCAGTGTCACTTTGTAAAACCTTATTAATAGCAATATTATCACTTTACAAAACATAGTAAGTTTTGTAAAGTGATAATATTACTATTAGTAAGGTTTTATTAAGTGACACTGCTAAATATAAACTTTAGATATTATTTATAATCGCATAAATTTGAGATTTACCATTTTCTATAAGTTATTTATTTAATAATATATTACTTATACTTTAAGAAATATTTTAATTACATTACTTATAAAAAATGTAAAATCTTTTAAAAAATAATATGTAAACTTTACATACTTATGAAAAAAATTAAAATGCATGATTTTAATTTTTTTCATAAGTATTTGAAGTTTACATATTATTTATAAAGACATAAAAATTTTATTAAATGATTTATGTATTTATAAATAATCTGTAAAGTTTACATACGACAGTGTTATATAGTAAAATTTTGCTTTGCTTTGTAAAAAAAAATTGTCAAATTCACTTTATAAAATATTATAAAATATTTATGGAAGCCCTATGCCAATCCCAGTAAAAACACAGATTTTATTTGCGGCATTATTTTCACACCATATGGGACCCATCTGCTGTGGCGGATTGAGGTTTAGTGTCGCGGGGGGGCCAAGTCAATAAATAGGGACGACCGGGGTTGCCTTCAGTAATTTGATCTTATATATACATATATATATATATATATATATATATATATATATATATATATATATATATATATATATATATATATATATATATATATATTGATTGTTTTAGGGGGCGCCGTTAGACCGTTCTAGGGGGCGTGGGGGGGGCAGCTAGATTAGACGAGATAGACGACGGTCTAACGGCAACGAGTTAGACCGGTCTAACGGTCTAACTCGTTGTAAAAGTGAACGACCATTGTCCAATTTCAAAGATCTTTTTACTTATAAAGCTATAAACAAATATGCTTTACGAAAAAATAATTTATTAATTGAACCCTTTTGTCAAACAAAGTTTAATCAATTTTGCATAAACTATAGAGCACCGTATTTATGAAACAAAATTGTTGTTCCAAATTTTGATTTGTCAATTTTGTTTTCCGTTTTTAAAACTAAATTAAAAAACTATATTCTTTCTACTGGCAATATATATATATATATTTTTAAAATGTAAAATTCTTTTTTTTTCACTCTTGATAATTTGTAAAATTATTTTCAGTTTTTCTTTCTTCTACATTGTTAATAGTTATTTGATCAATTGTATTTTTATTTTATTATATATACACGTATGATATATTTTATATGGTTCTGGCGACAAGATCATTTGGATCTTCTTTCAGATACCAAGTTTATATATTGTTATATTGTTATATTGTTATATTACGATAATTGTACACTGAAAAAAAAAAAAAAAAATGATGCTCCAAGATGCATCAGTTAATAAGTTTACTCAGGGTAAAGAGCGTATCTTCCTCCAATTTAAAAAAATATAATAAAAAGTTTTAAAAAATGTCCACTTTACTAGACACATTATTGTATTCATTTTTCCAGGAAATAGGTGTTTGACCCCCCCCCCCCCTCCTTTCGAGATAAAAAAAAATCTAAAACGTTTTGAATTACACATTTTACTTAATTCAAGTCTTGGCTTTTACAGGGTGGGGCATAAATAGTGTTGACACATTCTTTGGGCCATATCCAAATGCAAAATGTAAAACAATAAATTTATTTAATTAAACAATAGCCAGAAAAACAAAAAAACAAATAAATTATTTGAAATGGTCGTCTTTAAATAATTTATTTAGATAAAATAACTTTTTTAGCCTTAACACAGAGCTTACGTCTCTTCTCAAAAGCATTGCAGATGGCACGCAAAAAGGCGGATGAAAGATTACTCACTGCTCGAGAAATTGAGGGCTTGAGAGAAGCTAAACTAGCATGTCTAGTAGAGTTGACCTCGGCCTCCAACACTCCCCAAACAGCAAAATCGAGCGGGTTCAAATCGGGCAAATATGGGGGCCATTCTGCAGCTGCAATGAAATCAGGGCAATTGACTTGACACCACGCTCGAACGATCTTTGCTTGGTGAGAGGGCGCGCCGTCCTGCTGGT